TGGTTATGTCGCTATTTATTCCGTCATCTATGTCGTTTATGCAAGCTGTGAACAAGGGTCCCAACACTGACCCCTGTGGAACACCACTCGTGACGTGCCCCCATTCTGATTTCTCCCCATTCATGCAAACTCTCTGCTTCCTATTTGTAAGCCATGTCTCTACCCAGGAAAAAATTTCTCCTATTCCGTGTGCCTGAGTTTTCTCAACAGCCTCTGATGAGCAACTCTATCGAGAGCCTTACTGAAGTCCATATACACAATATCATATTCAATACAATGATCTACATCCTCAAATACCTTTGTGAAGAAAGTTAGTAAATTCGTAAGATAGGAACGCCCCTTTGTAAAACCGTGTTGAGATTCATTAATCAATTTATGCCTATCAAGATGGCTACAAATTGATTCGACAATTATTGATTCCATAAATTTACCAACTATGGAGGTAAGGCTTATTGGTTTATAGTTCGAAGCTAAGGACCTGTCACCTGTCTTATAAATAGGTATTACATTTGCCATTTTCCACTTGTCTGGCACTATGCCAGTTTGTAGCCAAAGGTATGCTAAGTTCCTCTTTACATTCCTTTAACACCCTTGCAAACAGTTCATCAGGGTCTGGGGATTTGTTAGGTTTTAGTTTCTCTATTTGTCTGAGGACCATGTCACTAGTTACCCTAATCGTGCATAGTATATTTTCGTCCTGTTCTACTTAATGTATTATTTCTGGAATTTCGCTAGCATCTTCCTGAGTAACAACTGAGGGAAAGTAGGTATTGAAAAGTTCACACATATCCTTATCACTGTCAGTGATCTAACCTGAGATACTCTTAAGTGGGCCTATCTTGTCCCTACTCTTACTTCTGTATACATGAAAGAACTTGGGTTAGCCTTCGAATCCCTTGCGACTTGAGCCTCATAATCCCTTTTTGCTTTTCATATTCCTTTTTTTTTATATCTCTCTTTGATTGAATATATTGATTTCTTAACTGCCCATCCCCTCTTTTGATACGCCTATATATGCCTCTCTTATGACCAATGAGATGTTTTAATTTATTGTTTATCCATTTTGGATAATTTTTGTTAATCTAATTTCTCTACTCGGAACAAAAGTTGTCTGGGCAGCTAGCACTATGCTCTGAAATATGTCATATTGGCAACCAGCCCTACCTACCTGACCCATAGTAAAATCATCCCAATTTAGCCCACCCAGATAATTTTTCAGTCCCAAAAACTCTGCCAAGTGGAAATCTGGGACTGAGACTTGATTGCAGTTATCTGGGTTATTCCATGATATATTGAAACTAGGTGATTAGTGATCACTTTCCCCAAGCTCATCATTAACTCAAGATTATTAATTAGTGATTTTTTATTGGCAAGAACCAAGTCAAGCAGGCTGTTTCCTCTAGTTGGTTCTGTCACAAACTGTTTTAAAAAGCAATCCTGAACTGTATCAAGAAAGTCACTAGACTCAAGATTTCCTGTCACATTGTTCCAATCAATTTGTCTAAAGTTAAAATATCTCATTAACACAACATTTTCATATCTAGACGCCTTATGAATTTCGTCCCATAGCAGCCTGCCGGACTCCCTATCAAGGTTTGGGGGCCTATAAATCACACCCAAAATTAATTTTTCACGACCTTCGAGAAGCTGTAACAAACAGATTTTGTGTCCAGCGTTTCTAATCTTACATCTTATCTAACACAACAATTTAAATTATCTCTGACATACATCACCACTCCACTACCTTTCCTGTTGACCCTATCAGTGTGGAATAGTTTATAACCCTGTGTGTTGCATTCAGAAGGCATTTCTCTATCTTTAAAGTTGAACCAGGTCTCTGTTATAACAATAATATCTATATTACCTGCACTTGCATGTAATCTTAGCTCATCTATCTTATGTCTTAGACTCCTACTATTTGTACAGTAAACCTTAAGGGAGCTAGTGACTTGTTGCACTCTACTATCTCTCTCTGTTGAACAGTTGCTTTGCCTATATTAGCATCTTTATTTTGAATATTGTCTTTTAAACATATCTCTGGGATATCCTGGTAATATCTGCTGTTTTCAACCCTAATACTGCAGTCTGATTGTTTCCTACGCCCATACCTCTATAATCTATCAGTTTAAATTCCTAGACAAGTCATCAATGACCCCCTCAGTCGAATTGGCTAATGCAACCACTCCAGCCCCAGAGAGATGAACCCCATCCCTTGCATACATATAACGTTTGCCATAGAATTTGTCCCAGTTATCAATGAATAGGATTACAAGTTCCTTGCACTACCTGTCTAGCCATCAATTTATACCAATTGCCCTAGACATCCATTCATTTCCCATTCCCCTTCTAGGCAAGATGCTACAAGTGATTGGGAACCCTCCCTTAGACCTGACTACTTCTATGGCTGACCTGTACTTGTCCAGTAGCTCCTGTCTCCTGCCCTTCCCGATGTCATTTCCCATTACCTGACATATTATCCAACCTGCTGACTATGTCACCAACACCAGCTCCTGGGAGGCACACCTTCTGTCTGACCTTCCTATTTCTGTTACAAAAAGCACAGTCCATATATCTTACCTGAGAGTTTCCCTCAATTAGAATATTCTTAGCTTGATTAGCTGGGAAGTAAGTAGTACCCTTTGCTTCGCTAACCACTGAAATTCACTTCTCCTGGAGAACAGAGAATCGATTTCCTACTTTCACATCTTCTCTATTAACCTTCCTTATCTTCCTTCTTCCTGAATTGTGAACCACTTGCCACTTAAAGTGGCTGCAACTCTTTAACTCACTGCTGGTATCCTTTTCCTCACCAACTCCACCCTTCTCACACTCACTCCCAAACCCATCTAGGTGAATCTTCAGCTTCCTATTTTCCTCCTGAAGAAGTAGAATCTCCTTCAACACTTTAACCTGAGATTCCAAAGCACTACAGCAGGCCATGGTGCTCAGTAACACCCCACACTAATTCCCAGACAGCTTAGGACAGTGACCTCACGTGACCTCTGACCGCAGCATAGTGATTCAGTTCAGAGATTTGTTTAATGATTATTTGAGTTACAAACACAGGAATGTCGTTACTGCAGGGAAAATAAATAAGTTTTTCTTTTCTTACTGTACATTTAGATAACTCTGTCTCTGCTGTTAATACCACAATTTACAGAATGGTCTCATTTACTTTGCTTTGCTTTTTGTTCCCAGTTTGTTCAAAGAAAATTATGTAAAATCCATGATCGATAGATGTTATTTTTTTATGCTAATCTTAATCGGCATTTCACACAAATAATATTTTTTTTTTGTGCTCTGACTATCCACTTATGTTATTTCAAGAAATATTAAGGAGTTTCTTTAATAGTAAACTGTCATCCTCTACGTCTGTGGTTATATTTCCTTAAGATGTTCGTTATATCAGGCTCCCTTTCTATGTATATTTAAGTTGCAACATTAAACATCTTTTGAAATTGTTACCAATATGTTATCCTCATATTAAATTTAAATTCATATTTGTCAATTCTTTAGCTATTGTGCAGTTATTATAGAAATAATGATCCTGTCATGCTATCTCAATGAGCTGATGTATTTACCAGTATACGTGTTCTAGCTGTGATTTTAGATAGGTTGGAGGCACAGGAATCTACAAACCAAAATACGTATATGATCACAGAGTTTCACCTAGCTGTTAGTCGACTGGTGTGGGTCGCATCCTGGGGGACAAGATTGGGAATAAGACACAGACTAACCCTCCCCCGGGTTAAAAATCCGAACAAATCTCATCATACAGGACACCTTACTAAATTAGCTAAACCCTCTTTTTCAACTTTCACACTACACTCCAAAATTAATTGATTCTGACTTGATAGCTAGAACATGGAATACATTGGATTTAAGTATCTTTTTAAGCTTAAGTATTAGGGAACTCAAACCTGAGTTTATTAGTTACACCTCGGTGGATCTAGTGTTGGGGCGTATCTAAAGAAATAAGCGCTTATGGCAAGATGCACCCCTGTCCAAATATCTGACACCCTCTTTTAGATAACTTTACCATAAAATCAGCTCAAAAACACAAGTCAAGCTCATTAATCTGTTAATTATCAAATTATGGCAGTACATAAAAATTACAACTGCACCTTCCATGCTTTCATTGATGCAAATTGGTCTATGATGTGCCCAAATTCAGTTTTTTCACATATTTCTCTGTCTACACTCAGCAGAGCAAGACCACAAAGTCTGCCTTGACCCATGGACGCTGAATGGTCTCTCATAGCTGGCGATGGAAACTGCGATGATTAACATTATCTGAATAGCAATGCGAAGATTGGGGAATACGCTCTCATCCCCATACTGAATAATAAATTCGAGAAGCTCTTCAGGCCTTGATCTGACCTCACAAGCGATTTTTACATCAATGCACCACGCGGAAACAAGCAGGTATATACAGAGAAAGATCGCAGCCAGCAGGAATCGAACCCACTACAGGGAGACTGACAAGGCTCCCAAAGTGACGCTCTTATCCACTCGGCCACAAATGCTTCAAAAGCTGGGCAGCCTGGTTTACAAGTCAGAACATACAGGAGGAGATTGAAATAGCCTAAAATCATGCTTGAGGCTCACTGATGTGCCCGGGATGCGAAAGAAACATGGCTTGTGAACCAGGCTGCCCGTCTTTTGAGGCATTTGTGCAAAATGGATAAGAGCATCACTTTTGGAACCTTGTCAGTCTCCCTGTAATGGGTTCGACTCCTTCTGACTACGATCTTTCTCCATATATACCCACTTGTTTCTGCGTGCTGCACTGATGTATAGTTTAGACTTCGCAGAACAAGGGATTAAATCATTTATTCATATCATAAATTCTTCAGTTAATCAATTCATATGATCATCCGAGATCATGTACTACTTTATTAATTTATAACCTCATTACTTGTACATTTCAACACGTTTCCTAAAGAATTATTATTATTATTATTATTATTATTATTATTATTATTATTATTATTATGCAGGGGCAGCAGCAGCGAGCACTGCCGCAGTCATACTTGCAGTACTGCTAGCAGTAGCACTCATGGCCATATTCATAGTGTACCGGAACCGTTTATGGGTACGTCATTTCTAATGTTGTTTTTTTTTTCAAATATTCCCTTCACGTGTGGCATTATTAATTTTTACAACTTTTGCATGTATTGATATAATAAATTTTAAATATGAAAAAAAAAATATTCTTCGAATTCTCATAATCATCCTTGTTATTAATACGTCTTGATGTAAGTTAAGTTTGCTAGTCATGAGAGTGTGCATGACTGTTCATCTGAACTACTAGCTGTGATGTTTTCTGCTGTCAGTGTCTACTTTATTATTTCAGTTAGGCTGTCTAAGATTTTGAACCACTAAACTACGTGTTTTAGTCAGCAATACTTAATAAATATGCAACAATTTAAAGTAATTTTTACTAAATTGTCATTATCATTTGAAGTGACATAATGATACATACATTTTTTTTATACTTGAAACTGTTTCAGAAAACTTCCGGTGCTGCCCCAGAAAGAGACATGGAAAATGCGGAAGAGAAAACGCCTCTTGTGGAAAAAATTAACAGTAATGATATATCTTCCAGAGACAATACGAGAGTCGTGGATCACTCAGAGGTTAGCCACTTACCTGTACTCTGCTGAATGAATAGTCTTATGACTGGGTAGGGTGAGCTCAGATTGTTAGTGCTTAGTCTGAACTTTCAATTTGTTGACGTGAGGAAGTCCTTTTATATATTTTAGCTACCCATGTATGGATTCTGCTTTCATTATGTCATTGTTCATTTTCTCGCTATTTTCTTAAACTTTAGTATATAGAATAAGATTTTTCTGATGTCCCTGTGGGGGTGGCCCGGTGGCCTGGTGATTAAAGCTCCCGCTTCACACACGGAGGGGCCGGGTTCGATTCCCGGCGGGTGGAAACATTTGACACGTTTCCTTACACCTGTTGTCCTGTTCACCTAGCAGCAAATAGGTACCTGGGTGTTAGTCGACTGGTGTGGGTCGCATCCTGGGGGACAAGATTAAGGACCCCAATGGAAATAAGTTACAGTCCTCGATGACGCACTGACTTTCTTGGATTATCCTGGGTGGCTAACCCTCCGGGGTTAAAAATCTGAACGAAATCTTATCTTATCTTATCTTACACGGGTCAGCAATTTTCAGTATGTTCCATTCTTGTTAAATCTCAAATGATGAACTTATCTTTGTCTATCCTGATGAACGAAACAATTATGCAACACTTGGGTATCATTATTATGGGATCGTGTCGCCAGCCAGTCCATTAATCTTGATAAAAGTACTCTTTTATTAAACTTTTCAAAACTTGTCTGAAGATCATACGAGTACCACCCCTGGTTTCAGGAGGTGGATCGACAAAGGGTTGGATCCCAATCCAGAAGTACAGCGTTCGGTAAATATCTCAGCGAAGAAATTGGGAGACGCTGTTTTGACCGCCCCTAGAATAATTGTTGTCTCAGCCATGATAACCGAGACATCTAGTTCCTAGCCCCCCTCCCCTCCTGATAAACTAGAGTGTTCATCTCTAGCACCCTTCATCAGAGCAGTTGGCCGAGGCACCGTGCTGCGGCCAGTTTTTTCTTGCTTATATATGATTAAGTATACATTTATGTGTTTTTATATGACATCTGGGTGAGTACAAATAGAAAGTGCGTCTGTCTCGCTCTCAGCAGACGGAGGATCAAGCCTCCACAAGTCTTGCGCTGAAAGATCCACTTGGGTTTAGCGCTTAATATGAATTTAATTCTGACAGATATATATAACCTAACCTAAACCTAATTTAACGTAGCTTAAAATAGCTGGTTTCTAATTGCAGCGAACCCTTAGAAATTGATGCTGGAAACTGAAAGCACAGGGTGTAAAATAAGTTTTTTTTTATGCGTACTAATGCATTTTCAACAAGGATGTTGGGCCTGAGACATGAAGACAGTGACAGGTGTCCTGGTGACTACTAGTTCCTTTATCATCACGTTCGACTGGCCAGCCACTTCATTCCCTGCTTCTGATCTTGGTTGATGGGATCTGAATATCAAGCCAGAGGTTCCCTTCTTGATGCAGTGCTTCGAGAGAAACAGGTTCGGCCACCGGCGTTCAGCACAGAATACTTCTCTTGCCCATGATGATTCTCTTCAAATCGCTTGTTCGCTCTAGGCTGAGTTATTGCTGTACACTAATAGCGCCTTTCAAGGCAGGTGAAATTGCTGACCTAGAGAATGTACTGAGAACCTTCACGGCACACATAAGTACGATGAAACGCCTAAATTACTTGCAACGGTTGAAGTGCCTTGACTTGTATTCCCTGGAATGAAGGCGAGAGAGATACACGATAATATACGCTTTGAAAATTCTAGAGGGATTAGTACCAAATTTTCACACGAAAATCACTCCCTACGAAAGCAAAAGGCTCAGCAGGTTGTGCAACATCCCCCCCCCAATGAGAAGCAGGGGCGCCACGAATACGCTAAGAGACAACACAATAAGTGTCAGGGGCCCAGCTGTCTCCTAGCATACATAAAGGGGATTACCAATAAACCCCTGGCTGTCTTCAAGAAGGCACTGGACAGGCACCTAAAGTCAGTACCTAACCAGCCGGGCTGTGGCTCGTATGTCGGTTTACGTGCGGCCAACAGTAACAGCTTGGTTGATCAGGCTCTGGTCCACCACGAGGCCTGGTCCACCACGTTATATATGTTTTCCAGCTTTTTACTAATACATGGTGTAAAAAGTTTTTGAAGCTAATTTTAGATATAAGAAAATTTAGAATAAGTTGGCTGCAAAATCATGAACCAAATAGCCGTTTATTTAGACGCGAGAAGCTGGGAACGTATAGTGGAGTCTCATATTATTTGTTTGGATATATGTAATGCGTGGTGTATGTTTATACTGTACTGCGAATTATGAAATAAAGCATATTGATTGACAGCGATGTCATGCCAGCACCATTCCGTTGCTCATGGTAACTAAAGTATAGTGCAGTCATGCAAGCACCATCCGTTGTTAATGCCTCTAATATAGTGCGTCAGAAAGACCATACCGTTGTTAATGAATTACGTAAGTCGTCATGCAAAAACCTACCGTTGTTAATGGCATTACATATAGTGCAGTCTGCAAGCCCATACCTTGTTAAGGCTCTCAGTATATGCGTCATGCAAAAACCCATACCTTTTTTAATGGCATCTACATATAGTGCAGTCATGAAAGGGCCCCCATCCCCGTTGTAAGACACAATAATTCAGGGGATAAAAAAAGTACTCAATAGGGCGTCCCTTTTTGGGCAGAGAGGCACATTTCGTCAGATCCAGTTGCATGATGGGTCCTTTAGAATTGTAACAGATACAGGTACTAGGCTTTGAGGTTCCATTTTGGACCTGTTGTAACGAGACTTTTCGCCATACAAAGAAAGGTGAGAGCATAAGATTTTGGGGCGGGTTTTTTTCACCCCAGGTATGGTGCTAAGTTAAAATTTAAAAATTATGATCTTGCTTATATTAGTCTTGGTTGATTAGCGGGCCACACTTGCACCGTGTTTGGACTGGAAGCTTGAAGGGCGGGAAAAAAAACTGCAAAACGAAGCAAGGGATATCCTAGGATGCCCTCGTACTCCCAAAATTTTTTAAAATATGGGAAAAAGAACCTAATACCCAAAGCTTTTAGAGACGTGTTACTGAAAGAAATATCCTTTTGGGTCAATAGCTTACTACCCATTAAACCCCCCTGCAGAGAAGCCCTCCAAACTTTTCCTCGCACGGGGTGAACATCCTTTCCAGAGGGTCAAAAAAACGGGAAACCCGACCTCCGCATGCCAGCTACTGATTTTAATCGATTTAGAAAAAAAGACTTTCCCTGCCCATGGGATATTCCCCCATCCAAACTACCATTCCTCCATTTCCCCCAAAAACTCTTTTAAACCCAAAACCCCAAAGTTCGTCTGAAGCCAAAATTCCCTTTAAGCTGTTTTTATAATTAGTCACACAGAAACTTTTCACAAATTTTTTAGTTAGGGTTCTGTTCACCACCCCTGGTGCAGCTGGTATGCTCTGTTGTCACACAGAGTGATGGCTCTCATAAAGAAATTGGAGACTTCAATAACTGGGCCTTACCCCTTTAAAAAAACTGTTTGCCATACTCCTTGCCTCAAATTTTCCATTATTAAGGTTGGGCACTTTAATTGTAATGATTCTCTTCATCCATAAATGCTCTCAATCATTAAGTATAAATTGTGGCATCTTGTGTCAGAACCAGAATAGGTATGGTAAAATTGGGGCAGGGAGCGAGTGCACGCTGTGGATTTCATTCCATTGGGCTTCAGATCATGATAGAAAAGATAAATTGGCTAAGCTGTATGCTTTTAAAAAAGGGGGTAATTACAATCTGGGGTTTTCATTACAGTTTGAGAACAAAAATACGGAAAAAATTCAAAGAAAATTTATTTACTTAAAAACTTAGGGAGATTGACCAAGTCGTCCCTCTATCATCATTCCATCAGCAGGGGGAGCCACAGTCTATGGTGATCCCAAAAAGATAAGCAGACTCTTGGATGCTACTGCCCGGGTCCCGGGGGGTTACAAGTATTATGGGAGGGTTAAAATCACCACCACCCGAGTAGACCAAAAAAATGTAAAATTTGCCCCGATGGAATAAATTTTCAACCTGGGGTCTTATGTACTGGAGTGTGATCAAATTAATGAATTTAGAAACAACTCATAGAAAAAAGTTCAAAAATGGCAAGTATTTTATCCACATGGTAATTACAGACCTTTTTGGAGAAATACCCTGACTTTTTCTACTGTAAATAATGCATTACCCTGTTGGGGGTGGTGGTGTGGTTTTGGTGGGTGTGTGTTGTCTGTACCCACCCTTTTTTGGGGTTTCGGGGTCGATCCTGCTCCTGGCCCCGCCTCTTCACGGTTGCTACTAGGCCCCTCTCTCCCCGCTCCATGAGCTTTTTTCAAAACCCCGTCTTAAAATTGATGGGTTTCCCGCCCCCACTACGTCGTTTTCCCCAGGGTATTCCACTGCCTTACAACTCTATACGAAGAAATACTTCCACATCTCCGACTCATTTGTGTCTTTTAATTCCAATTGTGGCCTCTTGTTTCTGTGTCCCCCCCCTGGGAAAATCCCCCTTTTTCCACCTTTCTATTCCCCGCAGTATTTTATATGTCGTTACAGTTCCCCGACCCTCCGTCCCCCAGTGTGGTCAGGCCGATTTCCCTTAATCTTTCTTAAAGGGCATTCCCCCTTTGTCTGTAACTAACCCCTTTTGCAAAACCTTTTTTACTTTCCTAGTTTTTTTTGACTCTTTACAAGTGCGGGTTCCAAACAGGGGCTGCATACCCAGTAGGGCCCCACATACCGGTGTACAGTGTTTGAATATTCCTTACTAAGGTATCGGAATGCTGTTCTCAGGTTTGCCAGGCGCCCATATGTGCAGCAGTTATCTTTTTGATGTGTGCTTCCGGGGACATGTTTGGGGTTATACTCCCCCAAGACTTTCTCCTTTAGTGAGGTTTTCAGTCTTTGGCCCCCCTAGCCTTTTACTTGTCTGTGGTCTTCTGTGCCCCTCCCCATCTTCATGACTTTTCATTTGGCAGGATTGAATTCGAGAAAGCCATTTGCTGGACCAGGTGTCCAGTCTGTCCAGGTCTTTTTGAAGTCCTGCCTGGTCCTCATCAGATTTAATTCTCCTCATTAACTTCACATCATCTGCAAACAGGGACACTTCTGAGTCTAACCCTTCCGTCTGTCGTTCACATATACCAAAATAGCAACTGGTCCTAGGACCGACCCCTGTGGGACCCCGCTCGTCAAGGTGCCCACTGTGTTTACATCATTACGTACCATGACTCGTTGTTGCCCCCCTGTCAGGTATTCTCTGATCCTTTGCAGTGCCCTTCCTGTTATATGCGCCTGATGCTCTAGCTTCTGCACTAATCTCTTGTGAGGAACTGTGTCAAAGGCCTTCTTGCAGTCCAAGAAGATGCAATCAACCACCCCTCTCTTTTTCTTACTTCTGTTATTTTTCATAAAACTCCAGAAGGTTTGGGGACACAGGATTTTCCTTCCGTGAATCCGTGTGGTTGGCATTTATACTCTGTTCCGTTCCAGGTGCTCCACCACTCTCCTCCCGATACATTTCCATAATTTTGCATACTATACACGTCAATGACACAGGTCTATAGTTTAGTGCCTTTTTTTCTGTCTCCTTTTTTTAAAAAAGGGAACTACATTTGCGTCTTCCATACCTCAGGTAGTTGCCCAGTTTCCAGGGATGTGTTGAAGATTGTGATAAGTGGCATGCACAACATCTGTTCCCTCCTAAGGACCCACGGGGAGATGTTGTTCTGGTCCCATTGCCTTTGAGGTATCGATGTCCTTAGCAGTTTCTTCACCTCCTCCTCTTTTGTATGTATGTCGTTTCCCAAAACTTGTTGGTGTATTCCTTGCTGGTGTCCCCCTCTGGTCTGTACCCCCAGAGTCCTTCCTGTCTCTACTGTAAATACTTCCTTAAATCTCGTGTTGAGCTCCTCACATACCCCTTGATCGTTTCTTGTGAGTTCCTCCACCTTCTTTCCTCAGCCTTATCACCTGGTCCTTAAACTGTTGTTTTCCCTCCTAATGTGGCTATACAGCAGTTTCGGGTCAGATTTGACTTTCGATGCTATGTCGTTTTCATACTGTCGCTGGGCCTCCCTCCTTATCTGTGCAAAACTCGTTTCTGGCTCTTTACAAAATTCCTTGTTTTCCGGGGTTTCCTATCCCTCCTGTACCTTTTCCCATTCTCTGTTGCACTTAGTTTTTGTCTCCCTACACCTTCGGGTAAACCAAGGACTCGTTTTGGTCTTCCTATTATTTCCGTTTCCCTTTGGGGAAACCCAAAACTTTCCTCTGCCTCCTTGCACTTTGTTGCCACATATTCCATCATCTCGTTTACTGATTTTTCCTTTACCATTTCTCTGTCCCCACTGAACCTCCTGCAGGAAGTTTCTCATACCTGTGTAGTCCCCCCTTTTTATAGTTTGGCCTGTCCCCTTCAGTTCCTGTTACCTTCTCCATTTGTAACCCTACTATATAGTCAAAAACTCAGAACCACATAAATCGCTAGCTCCAAGGGGCCCTCTCATAAGTGATGTCCTCAATGTCTGAACTGCTCAGGGTGAACACAAGATCCAGTCTTGCTGGCTCATCCTCCCCTCTCTCTCTGGTTGTGTCCCTGACAGTTGATGCATGAGGTTTTCAAGTACCACATCCATCATCTTGGCTCTCCATGTTTCGGGACCCCCATGTGGCTCCAGGTTTCCCAGTCGATCTCCCTTTGGTTGAAATCCCCCCATTACCAGAAAACTTTGCTCTGCTCGAGTGAGCTCTTTTTGCACCTCAGCCAGTGTGTCCACCATCACCCTGTTGTTTTCTTCGTATCCTCTCTTGGCCTCCTGCAGTTCTGTGGGGGGTTTTTATACATCACTCCAATGACTACTTTATGTTCCTCCGGACTGAATTGTACCTACAATGTATCTCTTTCCCCAATCATGTCCATGCCTTCCATTTCCTCAAATCCCCATCGGTGTTTTATGAGCAGTGAAAACCCCTCCTCCCTTACTCCTTCTATCTTTCCCTCGGGAAATCTGATATCCTGTTGGGAAGATTGTGTCTTTTTATTGTCTCAGCGAGTTTTGTTTCTGTGAATGCTATGATGTCTGGGGATTTTTCATGATTCTTTAAATTCCACTCCTCATGTTTATTCATTATTTCCATCGCGTTTGTGTACCAAACCTTTAGTTTCTTTTCTATCATTGTAGTCATGCAAGAATATTGGGGTTGGGGGAGCGAGAGCCTTGGTGGGGGGCCTATATGGGGCTTTTGGTGTAGGTGGGGTTTGTGTTGATGGGGGGGGGGTCAGAATGCCCATAGGGACAGCTGTTGGGGTGAGGTTTGTGATATGGGGATTGGTGGCAGAGGGAACAGTGAGTGGGTTGTAGTATAGGTTGCTCAGTTGCGTTGGGAAAGTCGCGGGTGGAGTTTTTGGTGGGAGATTTGTGGGGTGTGTTTGCCCTTCCTCCTGTGTCTGGGTCCTGCTCATTTTCATTGCTTCTCGTTCCTCCTTGCGTCTCTGTACCCTCTTTTCAGTGTAGTCCTTTTTTCTTGTGTTCTGTCGCGGTCGAGGTATACTCTCTGGTACCCCTCTTTGTCCCTCAGTCTTGCTTTCTCTTGCAGAATCCTGGTTCGAACTGATTCTTCCTTGAAAGTTACTCTGACAGGCCCTATCCTTCCACTCGCAAACCCCCCAATTCTCTGAAAATTTGTCCCCCTGGGTCATATTGCCCTCCCCTATTGTTTCATGATGCCTTCAATCATTTTTTTCTCCTCCTGTTTTATTTCTTCAAAGTTGGCCCCTTGGCTTCTTGGAGCCCGTACACAAAAACTGACTCGCCCTTTCCTCCTCCCACTGAGTCCTCCTGGTCCTCTGAGGCATTTTATTTCCTTCCATTGACATGTTCTTGCCTTCAGTCCCCTGTCATATCTTTAAACTTCTATTCCTCAGTGGACTGTCTTCCTGACCAGCTGTCCCTTGCTACTGCAGGGTTTGGGTGTTAGAATCTCTGCATATGCATACCTTCATTGTCTTCGGACCTGTTGTTTGATTTAGTGTGCTCGTCTTTTCCCTGGCCCACGTGGGTCTAGATAGGGCCTTCATGTTCGGCATGTCTCCGTTGTTGCTTACCATCCCCTTGTCTGCGCCTGACTTTGAATTTTCCTGATGTCACACCTGAATTGTCATTGTCTCTCTTTAAACTGTTTCAGGCTTTGCAGTTTCTCTTCTAAAGCACTGTATCCTAGCTTCTGCTGCTAAGACTGTACTTCCCACTTCCTGCACTCTTCAGCTATCCGCTCCTCCATTTTCTTACCAAGCTCTACTATCTTCCTTCCCCACTCTTCCTCCCTTTTTTGGAGCTCTAGCTCCCAGTCTTTCCTCCCTGGTTAGTCCACCAGATCTCTGGGTTTTTCCCTCCCTGTGTTGTGTGTGTGTGTGTTGTCTGTGTGTGTGTTGTGTGTGTGTGTGTCTGTGTCTGTGTGTGTACTCACCCATTTGTGGTTGCGTGTGTGTGTGTGTGTGTGTGTGTGTGTGTGTGTGTGTGTGTGTGTGTGTGTGGGTGTGAGTGTGAGTGTGTGAGTGTGTATGTGTGTGTGTATGTGACTCAACAATCAATATTTGCACCAATAACTCACTACAGTTGTGACCGGGTGTGGAAGTGTGAATTGCTCATTACACTATAATTTGATCATGATTGTAGCCATGTATAAAGGTAAGTAACCATTCTTACAGAATTCATTACCTTTGTAACTTGTGAGCTCATTACCTTTGTACCTAGTTCAGGTATCAAAACATTGGGGGCCCAGTCCCTGGACCCATTACGTACCTCTGTAATCTGTAAATACCTTTGTAACTTGTCATGATTGTGGCCAGACCTACCTGGAGTTCATTACCTTTGTAAATTGTGAGTTCATTACCTTTGTAAATTGTGAGTTCATTACCTCTGTAAATTGCTCAGCTATCAAAACTTTGGAGTCAAGTCCCTGGACCAATTATGTACCTCTGTAATCTTTTGACTACCGCCCACAGGATGGGTATGGGGTGCATAATAAACATATTAAACTAACGTTGTGAAGAGTAACACTAGTATAGTGCTATTATGCTTGAACCAAATCGTTGTTCCGGGCAACACTGGTTTAGTTCTGCCATGTTAACACCACACCGTTGTGCAGAACAACACCATTATAATGCTGTCATTCTAGCACTATACCGTTCATCTAAAAATTTTAATATTCTCAGAGGTCGCGGCTGTACAGTGCGGTTGTGGAGGGCAACGCCAGTAAGGTGCAGCAACTACTTGATGATGGAGCTGAGCTGATAGATCTAAATACGTACGTGGAGGCTCACATTCTGGGCTCCCAGCAAGTAGTTGATGTGATGTCGTCCAGGAGGTTGCCGTCCATCTCTAGAGAAGAGTTAATCACATTGGTTTTGGAGGTATTATTTTTTCTTGTTTATATTTATATGTTGTAATTATAATAATGAGAAGGTGCTAAATTAGTAAGGACCATACACAACCTGGGACATAAGTCTGAATCAGGTTTGATCCGAGGTAGTAGAGTAAAATTCAAATTCCCATCAAGGCACTAATATATATATATATATATATATATGACTGATTCCAAAACTGTTTTAGTTCTTCTCTTCCACGTAAAGTTTACCAGATAAAACCCGTCACATTTCTAGTCTTTTATAAGCAATTAACAGCCTTTAGGATATTTTACTTTCTTAGATTTATAATGATCGTATATAAAAGAGCTGATTACCTATCGAAATATTAAGGCCTATATCTGAATATTTTATAGCTAAATTCATTATTTAGTTCTTTGGGGCTAGTATTCAAAACTTATTTATTATTTCAATTCTTCTAAAAAATATAGACTTTTTGTGGGGGATTTTTGAAATAAACTTTGATCGGTCATCAGGATGAAGCTTTTGTGCATCTGGCAACGTTTTGGGTGTTGTTTGAGGTTTGGCATAGACCTATAAAGGCCTAGAGCTCTGTAGGCCGCCGTGGAAATATAGCCTAAAACAGGCAGTTTACGGGCACTTCCGGTATCGAGAGCGATATCAAGGATATTTCCTGAGCGGATCGTCGACAATAATCAGCAGCAGCGAGATGTGCGCGGAAAAGACCTCGTTCCTAATATGTCGCCCCAAAGTTGACTTTTTGGCCATTCTTACAGGATTCATTACCTTTGTAACTTGTGAGTTCATTACCTTGTACCTAGTTCAGCCATCACAACTTTGGGAGCCCAGTCCCTGGACCCATTACGTACCTCTGTAATCTGTAAATACCTTTGTAACTTGTCATGATTGTGACTAGACCTACCTGGAGTTCATTACCTTTGTAAATTGTGAGTTCATTACCTTTGTAAATTGTGAATTCATTACCTCTGTAACTTGCTCAGCTATCAAAACTTTGGAGTCCAGTCCCTGGACCAATTATGTACCTCTGTAATCTTTTGACTACTGCCCACAGGATGGGTATGGGGTGCATAATAAACATATTAAACTAACTAACTTCACACCTAAATCGCGCCACTTCGGCACTTTTTTTTTATGGGCGCCAAATTGCCTATTTACCTAGAATATCTTTTGTTCTATTTGTTTCATTCCGGGGATTCGATCCTGGACCTCAGTGGGAGGTAGTCAAAAGGTTACTCAGGTACTTACATAAAGGGTCCAGGGACTGCGCCGCAAAATTTTGATAGCTGAACAAGTTACAATGGTAATAAACTATTTACATGTTCATATCCAGTCAGAAACGTGAAGTTGTTTATGCAGATGTTAGAAATAATCGTCATGCTTCGCTCATTGTAATCTGCTCATTACCTGGAGTTTACCTGGAGAGAGTTCCGGGGTTCAACGCCCCCGCGGCCCGGTCTGTGACCAGGCCTCCTGGTGGATCAGAATCTGATCAACCAGGCTGTTACTGCTGGCTGCACGCAATCCAACGTACGAGCCACAGCCCGGCTGGTCAGGTACCGACTTTAGGTGCTTGTCCAGTGCCTGCTTGAAGACTGCCAGGGGTCTAGTGGTAATCCCCCTTATGTATGCTGGGAGGCAGTTGAACAGTCTCGGGCCCCTGACGCTTATTGTGTTGTCTCTTAACGTGCTAGTGACACCCCTGCTTTTCATTGGGGGGATGTTGCATCGTCTGCCGAGTCTTTTGCTTTCGCTGTGAGTGATTTTCGTGTGCAAGTGAATACTATTTTACGGTGAGCAAAGTCAAGGTGTTTTTTTCAGAATGGTTTGTAATATACCACTGTGGTTAAAATACTTTGACATTTCTTGAACATTTCTAAGTGAGTTGTCTCCGAATTCATTACTTTTATCACATTTCTTTACTTAATGATGCAAGATGTGACAATTGTCCATTAGGTAAAGTTTACATTTCGTTTGGTCTACATCTAGTGGTGGTGATTTAACCTTCTAAAGGTACTTGTAACCCAGCCGGAGCCGGGCGGTAGTAACATCCAAGAGTCTGATTATTTTTTTGGATGCACCATAGACATGTGGCTCCTCCTGCATGTTAGAATAATAATAGATCGACTGACTGATGTCTGTCTCCATCAGTCACAAGTCAGTGAAATTCAGTTGAAGTTCTTTTCGTATTATTGTTCTCAAACTGCTAACTGACAAGCCAAGATTGTAATCTACTCTCTCTTTGATGCATATAACTTAGCCAGTTCATCAGTTCTAGCATGCATGAGAAGACCAATGTGAGACGGAATCCACAGAAGGTGCACTCTGACTTCACTGTCCACAGTCCTACCATACCTATGTCTGGCTTCTGACACAGGCATGCCACAATCTATACTTAAGAAATTGACAGCATTTATGTTATGATAGAGAATCAGCTATGTATCTATGAATCAGCCATGTATCTAAGGGTCAACCTTAGATACATGGACGCATTTGAGTGTAAGGAGTATATCAAACAGTTCTGTTTGAAGGGTAGAGGCCCAGTTATTGATGCGTGCTCCAATTTCTTGTGAGAGCAATCACTGTGCATGACAAGAGCAGCACTACCAGCTACACCAGTGAATTGGTGAACAGAACCATCAACATAAATAATTTGTGAAAGAGATGTGACTAGGCATCAATACAGCTTAAGGCATCCTGCTTGGCTTCAACTCGAAGCTTTGGGTGGGATTTAATTTTTTTTTAACGGGGGAAGGGAGGGATATTGGTTTGGAATGGGATAATAATCCATGGAGCGGGGAAGTGCCGCTGTTTCCTTACTTGACATAGATCATATATCTGGTTCATGCGGAAATCAGTTCCAATTTTTATGATCCATCTGGAGGAATGTTCACCAGTGCTGAGGAAAGTTTGGAGGGCTTCTGTGGAAAGGATTGAATGGGCTTGTCTGAACATATTGACTCCAGTGAAGACATTTCTGTCAATGATATGATCTTGATGCTTGGGATATCAAGTTCTTTCCGCAAATTTAGAATTTTGGCAGTACGAGGGCTTGCTAGGTTAATCCTCACTGCTTCATTCTTCAGCCCTCCAAGCTTCCAGTCTGACACAAGAACAAGTAGTGGTGTGGTATAATCAACCAATGATCTAATATAAGCAAGATACATCATTTTCACAATTTTAACATTAGCACCATACCTGGGATAAAAATTTGCCACAGCTCTAAGTGCTCTCAGCCTTTCTTTGTATTGGTGACGAAGTCTTGCAACAACAAGTCCAAGTAATGGGACATCAAAGCCTCGATTCCTGTATCTGGTTACATATTCTAGTCGAGACCCATCATGCAACTGGATCCTGTGGACTGCGCCTCTCTGTCGCCTGTAAAGCATCTTTGTTTTCTCAGTAGAGATAATCAGCCCCTGGTCCTGACATGAGGCTAGTATATGGTTAAGGATGTTTTGGGTGTTGGAGAAATGTTTTGGGTGTTTGATAATCCGATGGTATGAATCATTATATCATCAGCATAGCTAATTACATAATGATGGGGCTGGTTAGGCATAGCATTTAGTAAAGCATTAATTAGAATATTGAATAAGGTGATACTGAGCACACTTCCCTGTGGGGCTCCTAATTCAAAGTCTTTCGTTACACTTCTATGTCACTGGAGCAACACAAAAGACTTTCTGTTGGATAGGTAGCCTTTAATCTAGCAGAGAAGCCATCCTCCTACACCCATTCTGTCAAGTTCACTAATGATTATATGTCGGTTGGCTACATCAAAAGCAGATTTAAGGTCAAGGAAGGTAATATAGCAGCTGTCAGTGTGCAGGCTGAGAAAGGTGGTTATGCAATGATGCATACTCCTTCCATGCATGACAACATACAACCCGGGAGACAGAAATTGTTTAATTCTGTGCATGAAGCGATTTAGAATCATTCTCTCAAATGTTTTACACAAGCAGCTGGTAATAGATAATGAGAAATGCATTTTGTTGATTGGGCTTTGGAATGGGAATGATGAGTCTTTTGGTTCGAGATATAGGGAGCTCCCCAGGTACATACCTCATGTACCTGCTATGTTAAGAACCAGGTAAAGGATTACCTTGTTCTTAACATAGCAATCTGAGTATGTTGTAAGTAATACTATCTTCCCCAGGCGACGTGGCGTTGCCCCTTGGTTAGTATTGCATCGAGCACAAGTTAATGAAAGCAATGTTATTCCTTGTTGAGCACAACACAAATCAGTCTCTCCCATGCATCATTTGTCCGTTAATTTCGTCTGTGTGGTACTGGGAAGATTGTCATAGTTAAATGTAACAGCCCAAGCACTGACTAACTCATTCGCCCTATGTAGGGATAAGGGTGAGCGATCTAACCAGTTTTGTTACCCTTAATTCTTTTTATATCCCTCCATGCCAGGCTAAGTGGGGTGTGAGAACTGAGGCTATTGGCAATTTTTTTTCCCAGTCTGCTTGCTGCTTGCCGAAGCCGTGTCATACGCTCCCTGGATGCAGTTTGAATTAGCTTCAGCGTTTCAGGGGTACGATATTTTCAGTAGCCTAGGCCTAGTGTGGAATCATTGTATTTCAATGTTCGAAGTCTAGGATCATTATAGTAGGTATGAATTTTGTAGGAGGTATGATTATTATGAAAGTTAGTTGGGTTTGGACTAACAGGAGGTTTCAGTGGTAGTTCTAAATAATTCTGAATAATTCTTACATAGTTATTGTTAAAGGTCTCAACAGATTTTTTAGATTTTGCCACCGAAGTGGCTAGTTTATTGTGCACCCCATATCCATCCTGTGGACGGTAGCGCGAGAGTATATGGATACACAAAAGGCCTAGGAACTAGGCCCTAAAAGGGTTAACAGGTGTACATATGGGTTTTTATTTATCTACATATCTACGATTCATTTATCTATTACATGCAAATTTAGGAAATTTGCTTAGTATATCTGGTATCTTATTTTCATTAATAAGATATTTTGACATGTCACGTAGGTTATTAT